AGGCCCGGTCTAATCTTTACAGGCTATTCGCCTTTTCTCTCCCGATTCTCTCCACTTCTTTCGTTCTTTCTTTTTTCTCCCTGATCGAACACGCATTTCATCATACGTGTCTATTATGTGCGGATCCACACGATGAGATTCTGCGCGTCCTTATTTACACGAGGAAATTCACTCATGTGTCCCTGAATCGGTCATTTATCACATTTTATCCTCTTCCCTCCCTCGTCGTCCCTCCCGCCCGTCGCTCCGCACCGCACACGTCACGCGCTTATCTTTTTTCTTTGGCCTGTGGCCGATTGCCTTTTCTCCTCGATCAATCATCGATGACGTCTATATCTCGAAGCTTTCCACTGACTTTGCTCTAATGTAACAATGATAACGAGCTCTGCTGTAACTGCCGGTGAAATGTTCATCCGCATAGACTGGGATGAGATCAAGTACGTTTCGCGGTGCCTGCGAGGCCTAATAGTAATGGGAGAAACGTACTTTCTTTTATGAAATCGAGCGCCCGGTTGAAGGCCCCAATTCGCGGATAATCATACGGCCCGTACTTAAAATTCAGATAATTTTATTGAATTTGAAGTTAAATGAGGTGAGGCGAGGGCGTTCGTTTCATCATTGTTGATTTCAAGCTTGGGGCTTGAAATTTCCATTTCAATATTGAATTTCACGTAGCTCGGAATAATGCCAAGTCTGGATTCTCGTAACTCTGGGAATAATGTCGTTTGGAGACAGCGATTTTAGGGATCGTAACGCTCCATTAAACGTAGTTAACTTTAACGTCTCGGCTCTTGTCTTCGCTGCTGCAGACTTTTACCCGTTCTGAAATCAAGGAGCCGTGAAAAGAGCCGACGCTGTTGGGGTGAATAGATGGATGGGTGGAGCGGGGGAGGTGGGCGGGGAAGAGGACGAGGACGTGAACGTAGATGAGAATTTACAAGGGCCTTCCACTGAAACAATCGCAATTGAATGTAGTGTGCAACGGTTTTCCTCGCTCTTCTCGATAATTGGCACGGGTTGCGCTTGGATGTGCAGCCGTTTTCTAATGGGCGAAAAGTTTCGTGGAAGAGAACGGTAAAAACGAGGACGACAGGGGCATCTGAAAAATTATTGGTGATGGGTCGCGCTAAGTAGGCCACGAGTGCTTAGAAGCGTACGATCGACCCTAGCAGCGCATTCTCCCGAGTCGTCGTTTTCTAAAGCAAATCCTCCTCGACGTCGTCATTGCAATTATCATTTTTCGTCTTCTGTTCCTCTACTTAGTACCTTCGCTTATTTTCTTCCTTCAGTGTACGTCCGTGTCATAGCTTGTAGCCGACGGCGGCTCCATTCCTTGCACAAGGAATCGAGTTTCCGACTCGACTTGCCTTGCTTCGGCTCGACTCGGCTCGGCTCGGCACGGTTTCGGTTCGGCTCGGTTCGGTCGTTGCACCTGCTGTGTATGTGTGCCCGATCTCCGCTCTCTCTCTCTCTCTCTCTCTCTCTCTCTCTCTCTCTTTCTATCTGTCTCTATCCCTGTCTGTCTGTCTGTCTGTCTGTCTGTCTCCACCTGAATATCCCTACCCCATTTTTTGCTCTCTTAGCGTATCCTCTGTCTGTTTCCTTGCGCGTATGCGTGTGCGCGTCGGGCGATTGACCGACAAACTTGCTTACTAATAAAGCCTTCTTAATTTGCTCCGATGTGAGCATGTTGAGGGTATATAGCCGCCAATAGCCAGTAAGCCGTGCACCGCGAGCGATCGAGTCCTTTAGCATTTAACGGTTGAAAAAGCTCGCGCGATACTTAATACTTAGCTTGGGATTGAGAGAGATGGGGCACATTGGGGGAAAAGGTCGGAGCGTTTCGGTGCAGCTGCGGAGCTCGCGTCGACGTCGCTCGTGCACAGCTGCTCTTGCTCTCGGTGCTTTAACCAAACAGCTGCACGCGTACGCTCGCGCTTTCCTTGCCCTTTTCCTTGAGCCTCGGTACCTAGACACCGTCGCTACAGCAGCAGCAACAGCAGTTCTCCATCTCTGTACACCCACCAACCCCTCCTTACCTCCTTCCCACCTTATCCCCATTCTCCATCCCACCCTTAACCCATCACGAATCGCCCCTTCCGCATCACGCCCCGCTCCACTCCTACCCGCGACAAATGCACTTGCAACCCCATGCGTATTTATTTAATGTAAGGGATTTCGATGACGCTACGGGGAGTCGAGACTGTTGCCTGCTCCTGCCTGTGTGCACTAGGTAGAATAAAAAGGCCAGTTGAGGAAAATCGATAAGTCCGTTGGAAGCGCCTTACGTATGCGTACTACAGTACACACCGTTAAGTTTCTTTCGCTCGCTCGCTCGTTTTTGTCGTGCACTACAAATTTAAAGGGCCTTCGCGCAGCCCGCGGCGAACCTGAACTGCACGAGAGCAAGGGAGAGATTAAGTGAGAAAGAGAACAAGATTAGTCATTTAAAAGGGCCACCGCGCCCTTCTTCTCGCCCTTTTAACGATACTTTCCTCTCTTCCACTTTCTTTTTCTTTATTTGTAGAAACTTTTTCTCCAGACTTATTTTTGCCGATCTGTAAAGAAAAAAAAAAGAGTCAACGAAACGGGGCGGGGAGGAGGGCGCGGAAGGAAGAGGAGGAAAAAAAGGCGCAGAGTGGTCCAATGACAAGAAGATAAAGAAGTGCTCGGAGGGCAGCACGAGGTGAATTCGTGGTCCAATGTGAAGATTCGGGATTTTGTCTCTCTCTCTCTCTCTCTCTCTCTCTCTCTCTCTCTTTCTCCGTTCCTCTATTTCCACGTAACGACTAGGGAGCCGCGAGAAGATCGGAGGAATCTCTGCGATTCGACCATTCCTTTAAGCGTCGTCGATCCCGAGAGATCTCGAACAACGCTGACTATAAATACCGGAGAGCCCTTTCGGAGTCGACCGAGCGAAAGAGCGAACACCAACGGCCCTCCACGCGATTCTCTCTTTCTCTTTTTCCCTCTTTCATTCTCACTCGTAGAGAGTATCAAGGTTACCTGGACTTCTGCCCTCTGCCTTCCGCGCTTCTTCTTCTGCATGTAACCGCGTTAAGGCGTTTAGTATAATATTTAGCTCAGCTGGTTGGCCAGAGAGTAAATGAGAGAACGAGAGAGAGTGAGTGTGCGAGTGAGAGAGAAGCAGAGAGAGAGAGAGAGAGAGAGAGAGAGAGAGAGAGAGAAAGAGAGAGAAGAATTATCCGCGCGGGCCCAGTGTCGGCGATGCATGCATAATGCATCCCGCACTTTCACTTGCACTGCGCATCGCCGTGTGCTCCCGTGCATTTCCCGTGGCCCGAGCAATGCGAGACGCGCGGCTGAGGTACGCGATCGACCTCTTGGCCACGGCGTAAGCGAGTCCGGCTTTAACCTTTACATATTTTTTCTTCTTGCTTGTTTCAGCCCACTGCTTGACCGGATGCGACGAGCAACACGGACACTGCAGTCGACCCAACGAGTGCATGTGAGTATACATACATACAATATATGCATACATGCCTTGATACATACACCCACGTGGACATATGCTTATATACGTACGCGTAGGTACACGAGACTCTTGACTCTCTCCCGAGTCCGCCGACCGAGCTCCTCCTTACTCTCCTCCCTATACCCCCTCCCTCACTCTCCCAATTCCAGTCCCCTACACACGTACCCATCCCCCACCTCCGCCCCTTGCAGACGGCCCCATCACCCCGCGACCCTTCGCCGGTACAAGACGCCCCGAGAGTCGTATACCGGTATATAACATTCTGCGCACCTTCCTTATCTCTCCTTCTCACCGTCCTCTGCACCGTCAAAGTCTGCCACGACCGGTCCCTCTATCTGGGAATGAAATTTCGATTCTGCGCCAACACGCTCTCGTCGCACCGTCACTTCGGCGCGGCTTTTCAAAAGATTCGCGCCGAGCTTTCGGTCGACCGTACCATCGCTCACCGAGGCTCCACATTGCGGCCAATGAGTCACGTTGAGAAAGTCGGCGTTCGTGGCTTTCAAAGGGATCGGGGCATCATCCGCACCGCCTCGCGTAGAAGATGCCAAGAGATCGGGCCGGTCCATTCAATCGTTGCCACCCGCCGTCGGTTCCTTCATTCACCTCCGCGGCTTCACGGAAGCGCGGGCGGCAGGAAGGGGCTACGATGAGGCCGGTGTGGGAAGGGAGCAGGGGCAGGGAGGGAGATTTGCTAACGTGGTGGATTGGGGACAGGGGAGGGGGAGGGCGTATGGACCGCGGGTTGAAATTGCGTCGTGTTCGCACGCCGGCCGAGCGGCCCGACGCGCTTCTCTTCCCCGAAATCAGCCGTGACGCGGAAACGCGCGACAAGTCGGGACGTGCTCGCTGTAAATTCATCGCGCGGTCGCGCCGAGTCGTGGGATCGGTCCCATTCAAATTCACGCGAGTGAGAATTCCACAACTCCATCGACCACCTCCCTCCCTCCCCGTCGCCCCTCCCACGCGGCATCCCTCCTCCTCATTCGTCTACTCCTCCACCTCCACCATCTCCTCCTTTCGACCGATATCGGTGCTCGTTCTTTCTCACTCACTCTGTCTGTCTGTCGCTCTCTCTCTCTCTCTCTCTCTCTCTCTCTCTCTCTCTCTCTTTCTCTCTCTCTCTGCATCCACTACGACAAGCCAATGTTCATGCCAACGATTGCGTTCATCGACATTTTCTCGTCTCTTTTAAACCTTTTTTATACGCTTGATTGTGTGCGTGCGTGCGTGCGTGCGTGCGTGCGTGCGTGTGTGAGAAATAGAGAGATAGGGTAAGTGTGTGTGAGGCGTGGGTAAGAGGGGGTGGGTGGATGGATCAGTGGATCGGTGCGTGAAAGGGCGGGGAGGAGAGTCCGTTCTGTCGGATTGCCGCTCACTGCCTGCCCTTTTGCCCTTTCCACAGGGCTCTCGATGCACCGGCGCAGGGAAGTCCACCGACTACCACTGCTACGACTACTCCAACTACTGCCTCTTCGTCTTCTTCCTCCTCTCCTGGAATACCGATTATACAGTGGCGTATGCGCCATGGAATTCCAATCTAACGTGCGCTCCTTGCCTCTCGCGAAATTTCAATGAGGAAAACACTCGTAAGCACCGTAAGCACGAAAATGTGAAATCCATTCGACTTTTGTTCTGCTCGTCTCACGTAATCCGAGACAATCCTGAGCCTCCGAATTCATGTTCCGGACGTAATGTCCGTAGTGGCGAGCGGTCACTATGCGCCTCTTAATTTATCGCAATCAAATTATTATCAGATTATGAATGTCCGATAAGCGGCCGGTCATATTTTTCGGATCCTTTCATGGTAATATTCGCAGTTCCAAGGCATTTCGCCTAGTCGAATCCCATCTAATGTTGCTGTGAAAAATTGGAATTTCATAAGATATATTTTGCCCATTTGACATTTTTTCCTCTGCTTCGCCTTTCCCAAATTTCTATGTACCTCATATATTTCAAAGATACGCACTCTTGATACGACCACTCTTATTCTTTTTTCTTTCTTTTTTTCTTTAAGTTTTTTTCCTTTCTTTGATTAAAACTCTATACCCTCGTAAATGTATAAATTACATAAATTAACCTCCTTTGAATTGACGTATCTAAACACACAAATACTGAGAATTATTTCTAATTTCATGTCATCCAAATGAAAATTCGTATAAACATAAGCAATTTAATGTCATCGCTTAGCGACTTTCTCTTTTGTTCTCTCCATCACTTTTGAATTGCACGAATAAATAAGCTCGATAATCGCCATATCAGCAGATAGAATAATAATGCATGCTATCGACGATACTCGGTGCTTAATAAACATTGAATTATCAAAACATTGACGTAAACAATTCCTATTCTTAATCGCTTCGATAGAAAAAGAAGAGGGTGAATGCATGGGACGTGACAGTAGGCAAAGTTAATCCGGGCCCTTACGTGACCATTGTGCCCCGTAAAATCGAAAAAACGAGGATAAGCGCTATGGCCTTGGTAAGACCCATGTGAAAAATTCGAACCCACTCTTTTCAAATCTTCTAATGCTTGCGAGCATTAAAGGCCCCCGTGTGCATTACATCTTACAGATGCAAGCTCCTTCCTTCCGCGCGCCCGCAATTATGCATCCTCGCGAGGTCCATGCGTCTTTACCTTCGGCAAAGAGTGACTTCGGAATTCCGCGAACAAGTAGCGAAGGACGTAGGGCGGACAGGGAGTGAGATAGATATGGAGTGAGATAGACAGGGAGCAAAATCCAGAGGGAGAGAGAGAGGGAGGGGGAGAGAGAGAGAGAGAGAGAGAGAGAGCGTGCATATAAACGCGCGCGCGCGCTCGTTCCCTCGCGAGGGACAGAGAAGAGAAAGGAAAAAGAGAAGAGAAAGAAAGGTATATGGGATTTAATGGTATAGTCATGCGACGGGGAGAGGACGGACCTACGAGCGCCGTGTTGGTAGGCAAGAGAGAAGGCGCTCTGTTCGTACCTACACACCATCCCAAGAGCGAGAGAGCGAGTAGGTAGGCGCGCGCGCACTCACACACACCGACCGAGAGGAGCGTAACCTTTCCTTGACCCGCATACTGAACGGCTCTGCCGTGGCTCGAACCGTGCGGCTCCAACCGTGGGAACACTACACGGCGACTCATCCCCCCTCCCTCCCGGCATCCCTCCTCGACCGCCAGGCCTCCCTCCTTGTCCTCTCTCTCTCTCTCTCTCTCGCCGCCCCCTCTCTGCCGTTATCCTTTTCTCTTTTTCGCTCCGCTAGCGCGCGCTGCTCCCCCTCTAGACCCGCGCTCACTACATCACGAGTGTCTCTCTCTCGCTCTCTCTCTCTCTCTCTCTCTCTCTCTCTCTCTCTTCTCCTCCCCGCCGCCTCCCGACACCGGCCCCTCGCCGCCTTTTCCACACTCCGCGCCGTGGTTCTTGGGCCCGCGTGGACAAAGTAATGGCCGACCGCTACATCCTCTCCCTATCCCTCTCTCTCTCACTCACTCTCTCTCACTCTCTCACTATCTCTCACTCTCTCTCTCTCTCTCTCTCTCTCTCTCTATATATATATATATATATATATCGCCCCGTTCGCCCCTGTAGCGACCACCCTCCGCGCATACCGGACCCGGAATATCACTTTATTCAGGTGGACCCGTCTTTAATGCTCCCTATGTCGGCTTTGCGTGTTCTCAGGTGCCACAGCGGCTGGACGGGACAGTTCTGTGACCAGTGCGTTCGGTACCCGGGCTGCCTCCACGGCACCTGTCAGAAACCCTGGGAGTGCCTCTGCGACGAGGGCTGGGGAGGACTCTTCTGTAACCAAGATCTCAACTTCTGCACGAACCACAAGCCTTGCCGTAACGGGGGCACCTGCTTTAACACGGGCCAGGGCTCCTACACGTGTGCCTGCGCTCCCGGCTTCAGCGGTACCGATTGCGAGACGCCGCTCCTCGATTGCCAGGCGCAGCCCTGCCTCAACCAGGGCACGTGCATCCCTGCGCCCGCTAACATCTCGCTCAGCGCTCTGGCCCTCATGTCCGAAGACCGCGAGGAAGAGAGTCTGGGTAGGAAGTACCGCTGTGCTTGCCCGGTAGGCTGGCGGGGCCGTCATTGCGAGCTCGGCACCCGCTCCTGCAGGGACGCACCCTGTGCACGGGGCGCCACCTGCGAGGATGACCAGGAGCGCGGATACCGCTGCATCTGCCCACCGGGCCTAGCCGGGCCCGACTGCGAGCGTCAGCTCGACGAGTGCGCGGCACATCCCTGCTCCAACGGCGGCACCTGCGCCGACCATCCCTCGGGATTTCGTTGCAGCTGCCCCCCGGGCTTTACCGGGGAGCGCTGCCAGCAAAACGTCGACGACTGCCAAGGCGAGCCCTGCCTTCACGGTGCGACCTGTCTCGACCTCGTAAACGGCTTTTCCTGCCAGTGCGTGCCAGGCTACGTGGGACGGCTCTGCCAGGACAAGGTGGACTACTGCCTGGCAAAGCCCTGCGCCAACGGCGGCTCCTGTCTCTCCACCACTAACGACTATCGCTGCAGCTGCAAGCCCGGCTTCGCCGGCAAGGACTGCAGCGTCGACGTCGACGAGTGCAAGAGCTCGCCTTGCCAGCACGGGGGCACCTGTCGTAACCGCGTGAACGGCTTCGCTTGCGAGTGCCCGGACGGCTGGCGCGGCGATACCTGCTCCGAGGCTTCCGCCCGCCCCGGTTCCGCGGGATTCTGGCAGGCCGGCCGCGGTAGGAGCGCCGCTGCTGTGGCCGCTTCCCCCGAGGCACGCCATGCCGCCCTCACCACCGAGCACGTCGTCGTAATCGCGACGATCTCGACAGCCGTGCCGGCTTTCGTCCTCGTCGCCGCCCTCGCCGTCATGTGCATGAAGCGACGGCAAAAGCGCGAGCAGGCCAAGGCCGACGAGGAAGCGCGCTTGCAAAACGAGCGTAACGCCGTGCACAGCAGCATGAGCAAGCGCGCGGGTGCGCTACTCTCGCCCCAGCTCGAGGCGTCATCCATGACCATGTCGCCGCCACCGCCACCCGGTGATAGCCACATGATCAAGAACACGTGGGCGGCCCATGGGCAGACGGGTCTGGGCGATCGTAACCACGGTGGCAAGAGTGTGAACAACGCGATGGCAGCGGCGGTAGCCGCAGCCGCGATCGCCGATGACGGCTACAAGCCCGAGCCGATCTGTGGCGTCGGCGGCGGCGGCGGTGGTGGCTGTATCGGCGGTAGCGGCGGAGCCCCGGAGGCGCGGCCACGACCGACGAAACAGCTGAACACGGAGGCGGCTGCGCATCGCGCCTCCCAGCACCTCTACCACAAGGAGAAGGAGTGCGGCCTGGGGGCGCTCGGCGGTAGCCTGGGCCTCGCTTCCGCCTGCCAGCAGCTCCTCGAGGCGAAGCGCGCCTCAGCGCTGTACGCCGGGCCGACGGAGTCCGGATGCTGCGTCGTGAGCAGCTGCGCCGAGGCCAAGAGGCCGGAGACGCCACCGTCGGTGGAGACGCAGCAGGGCTCGGACACGCCCGGTTGCGCCGTCTACGTCATCGACGACCACTACAGGCACGACTCGGCGCTGGCCGCGACGCTCGCCACGGAGGTCTAGCCGACCTGTCACCCATCCCATCCTCTCGTCCCCCAACTCCCCGACCCCCAAAAATCCACGGCCCCACTAACCCGATCAGTCCCCATCCTTAGAGGAGTCCCCGACCGACGCTTCACGCTCGCTTCGGCGTGAACACAAACAATGGATGCTGTGTAGGCGGATCCGCGCGCACCCCGCCTGTCCTTAGCTATTAAATTAAATAGGTATCATGCTCGAAGCGCCTTGTACAGAACTAATTTATTATTATTTGTTATTTTCAATTATTATTATTAATTATTAATTATTAATTATTAATTATTATACTATCAAAATAATAATTATTAATATTATTATTCTTTTCTTTTCTATTTTTTTTTTTTTTTTTTATTTTTTTATTTTTTATTATTATTAATTGTAATTATTAATATATTTATAATTATAATTATTGATTATCAATTACGATTAATTATCATACTATTACCGGCTAAGATTTAATAGCGCAGGCGTCGCTCCTCCTCGGCGATATGGACTTGTTGGGTGATACTGTTGCATTATCATTGTTCCATTATGTTTTTCTGTATCTACGAACAAAAAAATGAGAGACATTGAGAGCCGAGCGAGGGATAGGGAGGGTTAGAAGGGGGAGCAATCGTCTAATGTACATGCGTTTTTTGTATAGTCCGACGTCCGTCTGTGTCTCTTCTGCCTGTCTGTCTATCTGTCTGTCTGTCCCTATGTCTGTTTGTTTGTCTGTCTGACGGTCTGCCTGCCAGCCTGTCTATTCGTTCGTTCGTTCGTTCGTTTGTCTGTCTGTCTGTGTGTCTGCCTGTCTGCCTGTCTGTCTGTTTGTCTGTCAATCTGTCTATCTGTCCGTCTGTCTGACTGATTGACTGACAAACGGACTGACTGAAAGACAGACCGTCTGACTACCTGACTGACTGACTGATTGATTGGCTGATTGAATTATTGACTGACTGACTGACTGACTGACTGACTGAACTGATTAACTAACTAACTAACTATCTAACTAACTAATTAACTAACTAACTAACTAACCAACCAACTAACTAACTAATTAACTGACTGACTGCTTATTCGTGCGTGCGTGCGTGCCTGCGTGCATGCGTAACTATATTTATGAGGGTGAATGTCTAGGTGGATGAGTTTATGCATAGGAATTCGCCGATGTTAAAGCCATTGCACGCGAAAGAGAAAGGAGCACCGGTAGAAAGTGACTCGGTTCTACGCCTGTACCTATGCGCACAAACACACTTCTGCACCGAGACAGAGTCTCTACATTGCATTCGTGTTTGTTAAATAGATCCACAGACGAGCATATTAACGCGCATTCTCTTTGTCAAAGTACCAAATAGCGCGATAAGAATCGTCGGCGGCCTAGCAATGTTTTTGTAATTTTTATCCGAGCCTCGGATGAGCCTTGATGAAAATTATATATAACGTCGTGAGGAGGCGAGTCGGAAGTGGGCGAGGAGGAGTCTCTTACTTCGCGTGCCTCCGAACGACTCTTCTGCAGGAGTCGTGTCCGAGGTGGAAGCAGGGATGCATCGAGTCGTGTTCTCGAACAGTGACTTTGCACATTGTGGCTTTGATCGAAAGCTCCGCATTTTTCTTCGTGAAAAAGTCCTCGGAATTGGCCCTGTATGACTCGTTTAAGCTGGCACGCCAAGTCCGATACCACGACTCACCGTCTTTCTCTCCCTTTAAAAGGGGCCTTTCTCTTTCTTCGGAGTTCATTGACAGTCTGTCGCGGACGATAGTAGCGTCTTCGAACCTAAAAATAAGCCCCTCGAGTGCTACCGAGTCAAAAGAATGAGAGTTAATGCTTCGCGTTTCACCCGAACACCACCCGTCCAAATCAAGGTTGCCGAGCAAAGAGTGCGTGCTTCTCTCTCTTTGTATGTATGCGCGTGTGTGTGTTATTGGCGCGCTCGCGCCCGTGAGAGAGAGTGTGAGAGAGAGAGAGAGAGAGAGAGAGAGAGAGTGAGAAATAGGGAAGAATACAGGCAGGCTCCGTCCATACACTTTCAACGCCGGTCGAAGAAAGAAAATTGAGAATCGCTACCGACACCCCACTTTTTCACAGCTTTCACTTTTGACGATCTCGCCCAACGATTAACCACAAAATTTCTTTCTTCTCTCACCCCCCTCCCCCCCAATCCCCACCCCCCAATCCCCCCCCCCCGCCTGTCACCGACCCGCCATCATCCATTGAATCCATTCCCGTAACCCCTTTAATTTTATTTTTTCGACCATTCACCCTCTTCCCCCTTTCAGTCCATTTCTCCTCTTCTCAATTTTAATTTTCTTTTCATCATTCAATTCCATCTTTCGTTGCGAATGACGGCTCGGCGATTCTCGATTTTGATAACTTGCCAGAGGGCGTTTGTAACGGATTCCAAAGTCCGGCATTATTATGCTATCAGCGATTGATTCCAGCGGCATGTAAATGGATACGGTGCCAGCGAGTCTCTATATTGTACATTTTTCAAAAAATCACGTTCATCCGACTTTGCTTTTGAAGAAGCCGTGACTTCGAGACTCGATATTATTGGCTTGCTAGTTCCGTTCCCATAAAGAATGACACTAATGACGACTGTTTTGTTATTGCGCAATTTTCGATGAGTAACTATTTATTTATAATATTAATAATTATGATGACATTGTGAGTGATAATTATCATGACGATGTTTGATGATATGGAATATCAGACGACAAAGACGATAGAGATGACGAGATTCATTATGATGATTACGATGATTATAACGTCGATGACAATGGTTATAATGACGACGACGACGATGATAATGATAATGACGCCAACGTCAACGCCAACGTCAACGCCAACGTCAATGCCAACGACGACGACGACGACGACGACGACGACGACGACCGTTCAGATAATGATAACGACCATGGTTCTCGTTGTCGTCGTGGCCGCTATTACTACTACTATTATTATTATCATGATCATGATCATCATCATCGTCGTCGTCGTCGTCGTCGTCGTCATCGTCGTCATCGTCGTCATCATCATAATCATCATAATAATCATCAATATTATTATTATTATCATTATAATAATAATAATTATCATCATCATCATCATCATCATCATTATCATCATCATTATTATTATTATTATTATTATTATTATTATTATTATTATTATTATTATTATTATTATTATGAAACAAGTTTCATTAACGTTCCTCTTAAAATATTAATAAATATTAAAGTCAGACTTGGGGCTTGGCGAGTTGCTGCAACTTATTGTGGGGCGCGATCGATGCTCGATGCCCGAGCTCTAAAGCCAACTCTTCATCCCTCGTTTATTAAGCAGCGAATGACGGATACAAGAAAGAAAAGTGATTCAACTTATATTTACCAAGGCAAGAAGACTATTATGCGATTACTATTCAAATACG